CATAAAAAATGACGATAAGTACATCAGTTGTTTGAGTTCCATGAATTAATTCTCATTGCAGTTGGGTTGTGTAACTATGAACAAGGCTGGCCTTAATACATGCAGCGGCTGCAGCACACTTTAACCTTGCACAGCAATGCCATATTAAGCGCTATCAGGAGAAAAGTTTACCTAATTAACAGGTTAAGCATCATGTTTACGTCAAACGGCAAACGCGAATTTGTACCACGTGACCAAGTTTCCCCTTTACTTGTCGTTTACTGTTCATTATTTCTACACATAAATTAGGAGCTTGAAGAAATTTTTTATCCATAAGAATTGTTTTGAGCTTGTTTTGTCTGCTCATTTTCTGTTTTGAGAAATTCTCAACTGTAACGTCACGTGATAGTTGTTATCCAATAGGATGCCAGATTTTACATGTGCTCGCGATCTTGTACAGGAGTCTTCAGTGAACCGACTTATGGATTAAAAGTATCGTTTGTTCATATTTGTTTATGTTTACAAAACCCGTTTGTTGCTGTACAAAGCCACAACGTTACATCAACTTGGATCTGACGTTTGCCGTTTGCCGTATACGTGAAATTTAAACTCTCTAATACCAGCTGCTTTTTGCTGCTTGTTCTGGTAATTGAACAAGGTCCCCTTCTGCTTCAGCCTTTCAATTCTGCCTATGCGTTGTCCTTTTTGTTTCCCTGTCACGAATTAAAACTCAAATATAACAAAATAAGAAAAGGTTTCATACCCGCATATTCTCTCCAGGTTTCGTCTCCAATATCGCAGTAACAAGACATTTCGGGAAGTGCGCACGTTCCGTTTACTCTACACGAGCAGTTGTTGTTGCCTGAAGACGGGTCTGGCCAGTTTTCAGGCGCTATATACGACTTTATTCCTTTCAACGTAACCTGATATGGGCCTATTGCTGACTGCAGCAATTTGGAACCAAAACACTTGAAGCCAACATACTGAAGGCATCGCTCGCTCCGGTTGATCAAAGCTCTGATCTCCTTCATCGGCGATGGGTATCTCACAGAATGGAAATAGCCTATTTTTGGAAAGAAAATTTTCGTTGCATTCACCCTCTGAAGACCAATTTTGCTATGCCCGACAATTGTAACGGCATTTCCTTGTTGCGTAACATTACACAGGACCGTAATTGGTTTCAAAGGACCTTCGGCGTCTAAATCCACTATACAGTTGGCGTCACCAGATAAACCAAGATCTTTGTAGTCCTGGCAGGTCCTTCGATAAATGGGTTTTTCGCAAAAGCGCCCTCTGTAAAACGTGCTTTGACAGTCACAGTTAAAACCACCAGACCGTGCTTCGATGCATTTACCACGATGTAAGCAGGGATTAGGGAAACAAGGGCTTGAAAGGTTGCAGAAGTTCTGCAGCGCACCGGACTTGCTTGTCGGGCTTATTTTAGTGAAAACAATATTTTCGCCGTCGACACTTAAACCATAAATACAACCGATGAAGGATGGCATAGTTGCCTTTCGAGCGAAGCCAATGAACATGGTCAGGTCCTCTTCTTCGTTAACAGATTGATTCAGGCTCGGATTAAAATGCACCAACGGCACTTCGTTATCAACAGCTAGCTTTATCAATGTCTCATTCACAACAACTGACAGATCGTGCCAATAACCGTCATTCAATTGCTTTTTAGAGTAAAGCGGTTGTACAATACCGCCAGGAGACGTCCTCACTTTAAGAAATACCTTTCCTTTAACCATCAAAACACGGACAAAAGAAAATCGCCCAAGTTCATTACCCTTCGATACTAAAATCTGGTTTGCCAAATACGTGCGAAAGTGGAACCGTACGTTCAGGTTGATTCTACCCGACGAGGCGAACTTGAGATATGCTTCCGGGTATCCAAAGCTTAGCGTCTTCAATTCCAGACGTCTGCACCTGGATCGCGAGGCAAGGATTTTGGGGGAGCCGTGCATTGTATACCTCCTTAAGAGCTTCCTGTTTTTGTTTTCTCTGGGAAAAATTCTTCTGTCGCTGTAGCTTACAGCTTCAATGCAGCCCTTGAAGTGTGGCGAAGGCTTATACTCTCGCAGATTGTTGGCCATGCCTGTGGTTAGTCCTGCGATATACGTCAAGCCCTCTATATCCAACCTGGTGTGTTCACTTTTCAGCTTAAGCAAATAATTCTTTTTATCAATCCTTACTTTTAATTTACGTCCATCGAGAGTTACCAATGCCCTGTACCAAGTATTATCAGCAAGGTTGTCTATCCACAGATCCCCTACTTGGGAAGGATTGTTGTCACCAAGGTTTACTGTGACTCTGTAGGAGAAAGGCCAAACACCACAGGATTACCAATGTAGTAAAAAGCATAAAGTGTAATAGACGCCCTCTCTCAAGTAACGCCTCTTGTCTAATAAACACCCATTAGGTAACGCCTTTAAGTTAGACGCCTCTCTCTAATAAACATCCCCTCTCGAATAAACGGCCCCTGTGACAATTTCTCAAAATACTAGGAAACAGTGATAGTAGATCATTCAAGTTGTTCAGTTTCTTGCTCAATGTCTATCAATGTATGGACTGGATAGTCTGCTTTTTGTAAAGCGTAGTGATACAAGAGTCCAGTTTCGAATTCGTCGCGGCCGCTGAACAGAAGCACTAATCAGTAAAGAGTTAGGACAGTCTTACTATGTAACTATGTAAGCACCCAGCTGTGTTGTATATTTTTTGACCACAGTTAGAGCCCCGATTCTGACATTTTTGTCTCATTACAATGCTTCAAAGTGTCTTTTCCAACAAATCACAGCCTCTCCCAGGTCTTCAGTTAGATCTGACCACCAAGAAAAGTCGCGGATGCCCACCCCCTCCCCCCCCCTCCCCCACAAAAAACACACACAAACAATTTAAAAAACAAAACACACGGTTGTCATTAAGAGCCGGAGGCCGGAGATTTTCCCCGGCTACTAAAAAAGTGGCCCCCAGCTACTTTTATGGGAAAATAGAAGAAAAATAGAACCAAAAGAAATCCCTAGCGGTTTGATTCCCTGCCTACTTGTTGTATTTAGGGGGCAACTTGAAATCTTAGTGACAACCCTGAAAACACAACAAAAAAAGAGCAAGCAACCTTCCTTTACTCAAGGTAAACTATCTTTATCTCTTCAAGGTATTAGCAAAGGTACTTTGCTCAGTTTTGTTAATTGAACGTTTTAGTATTAGTAGTACAAAATTATTTTAGCACCAAGGTTAACGACATTATTTCACGCGGTATTGTCAAACTTAAAGACCACAAAAAATTTATGACCAAAATGCTTTTAAAAAGCTTCATAAATGCAAGGTAATGAAAATTCTGGTTTACAGTCAATTTCTGATAATGACTGAAAATTCAAAAGCACTAGGATTGAGGTTCCTCGTTTACAGCGAAAGTAAGAACATAACCGCGCCTTTAGAAACATAAACATTAATGTGTAAAATCAGGATAAAAAGAAAGACTAGGATCCTATTTTGCTCGATCAATGAAATGACTACGCGTGACTGCTAAACCGAGCACAGATGGTGCTCTTTACAGCTCTGTGAAATAACCTGTTATTAAGTCGAAAATTGGGTACAAATATGAACTTTGAGCTCTAGCGGGGGCAGACCACTTAATGCAAAAATCTACATGGTCAAGAAACAAGTTCAAAACGTGTTAGTTGTTCACATCACATCACTGCTATTTGATCATGTTTTTGTTTACTTCAAATTTCGAGCATTTTTAACACTTTTTGTCTGTTTTTGAACATCTCGCGAGTCTACTGTTAACTAATTTCCGTGTACGTCTACGGTTACCGACCGCCATCGTTGTTTTGTCAAACCTTTCATTAAAATAAACATTGTTAATTAAACATTTCATACCTTAACTTTCCGTGTACAAGATTTATCATTACAAAATCGCTCTTTTCCTCCCAACCGCCCATGTAAATCAACATTCCATTTGGGAGCACAGTCATGAAGTGAATGTTGATGATATGTTTCACCATTATCTTTGACCTATGCGCAAACCAAGGCATCGTGTTCAAGTCAAATGAAACAAAATCGTCGCCATAAAATGCAATGTGTTGACCATAGACCTCAAAAGCAACGCTTGCGAGGCACAGAAGGATGAAAACCTTACACAAACGCTTCATATTTTCCGACATTCCACTGTGGCCTACAATTGTGCTCAGTTTTCATATGGGAAATGAAATGGCAGTTCAAATTTGATTGACAGGTGTAAAGGAGCTAGTTGATATCGGGCGTTTAGGGCTTAAAGCTTAGGGTCTGTAGGAGATAACTACATGACAGGTGTTTTATCATAGTTAGGCGGGTAGGCTAGTTTTCTGCTTTGATTTTTTCTTCGCGAACGTTTTCTTAACAACGCGCAGTGACGGCGGTGCCATTTTATTTAGATGGTTGAATCGATAGCGGGTGCTGGGTGGGGTTTTCTGGCAATGGAGCCGTGAAAGAAGATTGGGTACAAGTCAACTTTAGGGTTGTGTGACTATACCTTCAAGCTACCTGTCACGCTTCTCGCCTTTTTGGGTCGTCACGCATTGTATATAGTAATTAGGTGATTGAATTACTAAGGAAGTCATCCGGTGTCCTAGCAATGGTCAGTACAGTAATTTACGGTGGCCCAGAAGGGTCACACATGCAAATTAAAAATGTTGCTGCAAATTAAAAATGTTACATGCAAATTAAAAATTGTACATGCAAACTAAAAATATTACCTGCAAATTAAATATAGTACATGCAAACTAAAAATTGTGCTGCAAATTGAAAATAGAAAACACATCGATGCAAATTAAAAATGAAAAGTCCTCCGCGCGCAGTATGAGTTGTGAGGACCTGGTCCGAGCCATCCGACCTGGCCTTACACAGCCGTCGGCCCTTTAATATTTTTAGCTTGCATGTACAATTTTTAATTTGCATGTCCTATTTTTAATTTGCAGGTAAAATTTTTAGTTTGCAGCAACATTTTTAATTTGCATGTGTGACCCTTCTGGGCCACCGTAGTAATTTACCCATTCAATTTTCTCTTTAAACCAATATTAACCTGCTCTCTGTAATTCTCTATTTTCCAATTCCCCATAATACACTCTGTTTGCCCCCCAAATTTTGCATAAACCATTGTTTTTAAATGCTCCTGGGAGTATTGCATTTTCCCAAGAGCATTTTAAGACAATAAGTTATGTAAAATTTGGGGGGCAGACAGAGTGTATTATGGGGAATTGGAAAATAGTCAATTGCCTGCTGTGTGTTTTAGTCGGTGTTCAAACAAACTGGAAGATGATCTACCCAATAGCAATTGTCGAAATCCTTTCTTTAGTTCTTCTTTATGGAGAAATGAAAATGAAAATCATAGTCTTTTTTTAATCTTGCTATGCGAAATGAAATGTAATGACCTGCTGTATGTTAGTCATTGACCACTTGATCCAGGCAAATTAAAATATTGCTTTAACATGGTCGTTTGCCTCAAATGTTTGTAAACAATTAGCGATCGAAAATGACTAACAGTACTTGGCGATTCCCCAATACAGTTAAGTATTTAGTCAAAATAAAGGGGAGTCCAGCAACCTCTCATGAACGACGTGCGGTACGATTCGACTCCGGTTCTTTGAGCTCGTTGAGATTCACATATACAGAAAAACTTTTTACGAAAAAAATGGCAACGATTTCAAATATACGTACTGTGAAAAACATTTAACGTAAACCTTTTTCATTTTTTTCCCAAGAACGCATATTTTAGAGCAGAAAAGCGGATGCGAAACATCTATTGTTTTGAGTCATTTCTTCCGCGAATTCACGCCGGGTACGGTCCTGCGTGTGTTTGGTTACTGTAATTGCGTAAAACGTTTCTGCTGTGATCCTTTAGTGCAAAAAGAAGTGGAAACATTGTTGCAGATTTTGCAAAGGAGAAATACTTGATGCACCTGATGTGATTTTGAAGCCAGAATTGCTTTACGCGACGCTTTTGTTTAATTTCACCGAGGCCATTTGGTACCCGTTTCCCTTTATTCAAATCGACCAATCAGCGACCCCCGGAAGTTAACAACATATCGCATGGTAGCTTTTGAAAGAAAAAGTTGACTGAGATGAATGAAAAGCATTCAAACCGTGTTATTATGGATCATTAATTTATGAATAATTTTCTGATCAAGGCATGGGAACGGTCGACTGCCGGCAATATTAGGATCATTTCGAGCAAATATGGCGAGGAAAAACTACTTAGTATGGACATGTTTTGTATGGTGTATTTTGATTGGTTTGTTCGACCTGCGAATTCACGGTAAGGATTCTTCAATAAAACTGGGCACGTGTGTTAACGAAGAAAGTGAAGATGGCTTTTGCGACAGTAATGATGAAAACAAGTATCTTGAAAATAACGAAAATTTGCATGCGGAAGAAACTAAGGGATCAACATTACAGGAAAAAGAAGAAATAACGACTTTTATCGAGAATTCTGAGGTCAACATATCTGAAAGTGAAGTTAATCAATCATTATTGGGAAGCGAAGATAAACAAACAGACATCGCTGACAATTCAACCGATGATTGGCTCGGACTACGTATTCCGGTTGTTGATGGAGTTGAGGTAAGTACTAAATCAGAATTTTATGTAATTACTTCTTCTAGACGAAAAATTTTGTTATTCAAGTAGCTAAGCTACGTACATTATCCATGCAACCTATTTAACACGGACATCCCCTTTACACGGAGTCTTCGGACGACATATATATACACATGCGCAGTGCATGTATGACCACTGTTATGACATTTTCGCAAAATTATAATTACAATAATGAAGATAATGATGTCATCATGTCCTCAGAACTGTATTTAAGCCGCTTTTTTGTCTATCAATAAACAGGTTGGTCATGTTCAAGAAGTTGAAATTCTTCCTGGGGTCAAACGGCAGATGAAAACACTGAGCATGCGTCCACTGGTATTTGGTAAGATGGAAATACAATAAGTGACTTGAATTTTACAAAAGTATACCGAAGTTAATACTCTGGCAATTAACACTTCAAAACACGATATTCTTCACCTTTTTTTCAATGCATTTTCTAGGATCACTTCCTTTATTTCTGTGACCTTCATGGAATGTTAAAAAGAGCGAGCTGCAGTGTTGAAGGTCAAGCATGAGATTTTTTTGACAAGTAAACAGCTTCAAAAACGTCCCTGAAGTATTTATTTCCTATAGAATTGTAAAATCCAGTGTACACCGGTCTATTTCTCTTTTTAAAATGTGTTAATTGGAAACTGTCAAACAAAGGCAGCGTTCTCAAGAGCAGTTGTACAAATGAATTCTGAAACTGAAGTTCCGAAGGTCTACTTGCCTTTAAATACGATGCCACAACCCAAAAGAAATTTCAGAAGTTAATAATCGTGAAAGAGGGAAACATCGAACGAGGAGACACACTAAAGCTAACTGCACAAACACATAAAGGACAGTGATAACTTTTACGAATCTCCAATTGGTAAGAATTGTTTGTGACTCATTTCGCTGACTCTTTCTTGGCTCGTAAAACAATAGTACCTTGAAATAAACTGGTTGTGGTGTTTTCTCGACTAAAAATCTTTATTTTTTATTGTAAATAAGCCCTGACCGGACCATTGCTTTATTAGTTCGTTTAAGGCTGAACATCTTTTTGGCTTCTGCAGATATTTTGATGAATTTTTGACTTTATCATTTATTTGCAAATTAGAATAACCATTTTATGATAAAATTTAATGTTCATTACTATTCTTCAATGGTTATCAACCTAATCAGCATTCCATTGTTTCAGTCATTCAACCTCATACAATTTCCCCCGAGGCTTAATTCAAATCCTTCTTATCCTCTGACTTTTCAGATGAATTTTAGCACGTAAGAAATAAGGTCAGTGATTCAACCCTTGCATTCAACAGGACAATATACTGACTATTTATCAGTTGTTGAAGTGTTCTAATCAGTAAGTTTTTAAGAAGAAATTAGACGCTGGGCACGTTTAGTGGTTAAGGTTACAGAAAATTCGATTATCCAATTAAACTATTTTCGAGGAGGACGGTGCGTGGACAACTACAAGTAACATCCTAGAGTTCTCTGAGGCAGTCCCTGCTGCAAAAATTAACTTTTATTTCTTATTCTCCAGAGATTCCTGATTTTCTCGATGCTGACGAATGTGAACTTATCATAGCACTTGCTGAGAATAAAAGGCTTAGAGATAATCCTAAAAGAACGGATAGTAGAGGAATCTTATATGAGGATCCTGTTAACACTTTCAAGTTGTGGGACTTAAATGGAGATAATTACATTGACACAGAAGAGGTTAGTGGAACTGTACACCCTCTTAAATCAAAAATTATCTTCGTAAGTGCATACTGTTGCTTGTTGAATCCACTGCAATCATCAGTCGTTTCCAAGAACAAGTTTTCCCATTTCACTTTTTCTGTCTCTTTGCCGGACCTATAGATCGTCAGAGATTTGTGCAGAAACATCCCTACCAACCAAGAGTGGTATTTGAGTAAATAGTTTGCAATATGAGGCGGGCTGCTCCTCCTTGAACACACTTCCATGAGCTCGAAGTTTATATATATTTCTTCAGGCCCGAAATTGGGAAGATGGGATGGGAGGGGAGTTAGTTTGTACTTTTGCAAGGAAAAGAGAGACTGTTTCATGCTCCACCTACTTATGAAACACTTTCAGTGAATGCGCACACTCCGTTGCACATATATATTTTTTCAATTACAGATCGTTCTGATTCCTGGAAAAATGGATCTCAAGTTTACGGAGATAAACGCCACTGAAATGTATGTCGTCAACTTAAAATCCCACTTTTCACTCTTTCGGTCTCTATTCACACTCGATTATGCCCAGAATGCGGCTTATTGGATACCTACTAGACTGTACTGTAATAGCCGACGTCTAAAGTTGCTAATGAAAATTATTATGGCTTTAATCAAAGCTGTAATGTTGGTGAGCAACTCATATTTTCACTAAGTACATGCAGTTTCTGTAAAATACGTGAATATACTAGTCGAGGGTTTTGCCTTCCCGCGTCACTGGTTTATTGTATTTTACACTGAGAGGCTTTTCTTTGATTTTAAATTGACAGGAGGAAGTCATTAGAAATGGATAAAGATGACAACGGTTTGTAAACTTTTCCTGTTTCATAACATTGTCTTTGTGTCATAACTGGTCACATTTTATCCCGGTTTCCAAAGCATAAAACGATTTTGAATATTTCTATCTGCACCCCGGACAGGATGCTAGTCCACCCTTGGGTTACCCCCAACGTTAAATTGGCGATACTTATTTACACACGGGGGTGGTGCGAGGCACCGTGAGAGTAACGTGTCTCACCCACCCTACCCTACCCTATCAAGGGCTGAACACGGAGACTCTCGATTTGAACTCCAAACCGCTAGCCATTAGGGACGGACCATTAGAAAAGTTATGGGGGGGGGGGAATTTTCGAACCGCGGGAATTTTTTTTCGTTATCAAATTCCTTGTATGAATTTTTTTTAGGCCGTAGCATGAATATTTTTTAGGGTTAATCGGCGTGCATGAATTTTTTTCATTTAATTCTCCCTTGCGCGAATATTTTTTTTTGTACTTCGCCCACCGCGGCCCCCCCCTCCCATAAGTTTTCTAATGGTCCGTCCCTTAGGTCATCTCGCCTCTCATTCGTTCACCTCGAGTCTGATTCATCATATTTTATCGTCACCATCAATATCATGATCACTAATTCATCATTATTTTTATGATTGGGTAACCAAATCTTGCTTGGATATTTTTTTTTAAAATCAGGGAAAATTGACTTGACTGAGTTCAAGAGCATAGAACTTGAGAGGATGCAAGAATACATAGCGGCTCTTTTGAATGATTCTTCATTAAGGCGAATAGCCAGCAGCAAGATTTCATGGTTATGGCACGATGAAGATGAACTGCTAAGATATCAGCCGGAATTACTTGACGGATTTCACGAACGGTACGTGCACACTACAACAGGCACCTTGAAGTGCTCCCTTCCATTCGTAATTCCTTTTCTTTGACCCTATTAAAGGCGGACACCCAGTCCCTAGGATGGATTCTTTGGTGTCCGTCCAACCGGGGCGTCCAACTTCAACAGAGTTGACTGTACGCCTGTATTTGACATTATTAGGGTTTGTATAAAGAGATTGCTTTGTGTTAAACTTGCTCCCACTTAGTTTCTAATGGTAAATTCCATTTTCCTTCTAGCCTACAAGCAATTACCAAGATACCAAAGGAGATATTACAAGAAAGTGAACCAATGCAGGCAAGAATATGACTTTACTAAGCGTACTTCAGAGATACCAATTAAAATTTCTTCACTATATTTATCCCAGTCTTAACTTATGTTCTGGTTTGGAGTCAGCCCTCGCAAGGTGATTTCGAGGGGTTCGGAGACACCTAAGACCTCCCAAGAAATAAACGGCAGGCTAAAGGGTTTTTTTAATTACCCACCAGCGTTTAATATGTTCCTTTATTTACCTGTGATCATCTGATTCCAAAAACGAAAACAATACTGTCTGACAGATAATTCTAAATTAAATAAATTTAATTTTAGGTGTCACAATACGAAGAAGGTAGTTATCAATATTGTCAGCAAGACAGCGAGCCTACAATTAAAGGAGTCCCGTGCTGTCTCTATGGCGACATGGATCAGTGCAGAATATGCAGGTATCTCATTAATCTTAAAAAAGAATATTTCTATAAATGACAGGAAAATAAATCAGTAATTTTATGATATAATAAAGTGATTAATACAAACTATAACCCTAATTTATTTTCATTAAAATCAATCATAAAAAAAATATAAAAAAATATATAAATATTTTTTTCTTTATAATGACTAAAATTAATGTCTCTTTATATTTTTTTGGAAGGTTTATAACAATAACATATTTTTTAACTGATGTTGACGATGGAGGGGAAGTTGTTGTACCACTTGCCAACAACAAGTTTGAGGTATTTTCCTCCTAGTTTTGTGTATACGGACCGATATGCATTTCAAATATGTTGAAAGCTTTATTTCACGTGTACATCGTGAAACTAAACTTGGTTTTTATGAGTGGTGTTCACTTTATGTGTCGCTAGTAATTTCGTGATTGCCATGGTTTTTCGTTTCTATTTTAAGAATTGTTTAAAAACTTACCTTTTTAAAATGGCTTTTAACTTAGAACTATTTTTTTTCTCTACATCTTAACCTTTAAACTTGTTAATTGTCTATACTTAGTTATACTGTTATACTTTTGTATGATATACTTTTTATGTTTTTATATTTTGTATCACTTTTCATATTTTTGTAAATAGTGATGATGGCGCTATATAATGTATTATTATTATTATTATTATTATTATTATTATTGTTATTATTATTATTATTATTATTATTATTATTATTATTATTATTATTATTATTATTATGCGATTTTTGACCCACTTTCATGACCGATCCGAGAAGTAATCTAAATACAATATTGACTTGCACCTAAACGATTTCTCTTGCTTTGTCCCGGCTACACGTATTTACTCCTAGTTTCCATAGGTTCTCAGTTTTGCCCACCCTGTTGTGCCAGACTAAAGTAATAACTTTTGAGTTTGGTTCTACTTTATTCAGTAGGACGATCTCTATTCTACATCAATAAGAACCTTTTCTTATTTTTTAGGAAGACGTTATGAATAATTCAGGAAACTGGACGGGTTTCTTTACTTACGCCAAGACCACTGGAAGTCGCAACTCTTTCAAGGTTGACATCAAGTTTAAAGTCGACGGAGCTAACAAAATTCTTGTCGGTAAAGGTCATGATGCAAGCGGTGCATTCGAGTTAATTGACAGTTTAGTGACTGGGGACATTGTCCGATTTCGTAAAAAGTACCTTAATCAGGAGAATAATGATATGCTGATTAAATATGCCGGAAGATTAAAGGGTAATGCTCAGATAGAAGGAAAATGGTGGATTCCAGGAGAGAAGAAAATTCATGGATTTTTCTTCATGCGTTATGAGGCCTATGAGGTATGCTCGAGATCAAAATCTCAATTTTTCGNCAGTTTTGCCCACCCTGTTGTGCCAGACTAAAGTAATAACTTTTGAGTTTGGTTCTACTTTATTCAGTAGGACGATCTCTATTCTACATCAATAAGAACCTTTTCTTATTTTTTAGGAAGACGTTATGAATAATTCAGGAAACTGGACGGGTTTCTTTACTTACGCCAAGACCACTGGAAGTCGCAACTCTTTCAAGGTTGACATCAAGTTTAAAGTCGACGGAGCTAACAAAATTCTTGTCGGTAAAGGTCATGATGCAAGCGGTGCATTCGAGTTAATTGACAGTTTAGTGACTGGGGACATTGTCCGATTTCGTAAAAAGTACCTTAATCAGGAGAATAATGATATGCTGATTAAATATGCCGGAAGATTAAAGGGTAATGCTCAGATAGAAGGAAAATGGTGGATTCCAGGAGAGAAGAAAATTCATGGATTTTTCTTCATGCGTTATGAGGCCTATGAGGTATGCTCGAGATCAAAATCTCAATTTTTCGTCAATTTTGGTCTGTTTCTTAATTCCACTTTTTAGCCCCTTCAGTGAGGTCAATCATCAAGCCAAGGTGTCGCTAATTTTCAGTGCAATAGAAATAGAAAGACACGCACTAGACGTCCCTTATTTCGGATCCCTGTTTTTTTGTTCCTTAAACTTGTTTCGGATGTCACCTAATTAAATGAAGATAACATTTTCCCTTAAAAACGAATGGACGAACGTATTTAGTTATCAACATCACTTTCCCATTTAATTCCTGTGCTGGTTTGTAGCTGACGTAACGGCTGACGTCACGCAACTGACGGAACGGCGGCCATATTGGTCTACAAGAACAAAAGAACTCTTTTTTCATGCAACCTCTCCGAAAAAAAAAGTTATTGCTCTGTCAATCAACATGGCCTCCTCGTTACGTGGTTGAAAACCAAGAAAATTGACGAACTTATGGTCTCGACTTATCTTTTTGTTTCATTTTCGTTACAGAAATGGATGAATGATGCGCTAGGAAAATGCAACTCGTATGAATATTGCTCAAAGGGAAATCTAGTTATCAAACCTCAAAGAGGCAAGGCTATTATGTGGTATAACCACGTGATCAATGACGAAGGCAACTGGATTGGAGGCTTAGATAACAGGATGCATTATGGGCATTGTGACGTCAGTAGTGGAGAAAAGTGGATAGCTACAAATTGGATTAACGTAGATGGCGAGGGAGACATGGAATTACGAGCTTGGAGAAAGGGAAGCAATCTTTTATCGGTTGCTAGAAGGCACGGAAATCAGAACATACTACAAAGAATGCAAAAAAGTAGAGACAGAATTAATACCGACGTCATCGAAGAAGAAATGCAAAGTGATATGGAAAACAATGAAGAATGGACGTTTCATGATTCTCATCCAAAGGAACGACATGTTCTTAACGCTGTGACGTCCCTTTTGGAAACCCTTAAGGAGGATGAACTGCGAAGTGTATCTAAAAAAGTGCACGAGAAACTTGAGATGTTGTGTGTTCCTCTGGTGCTGAACCAAGGAGGAAAAATTTCCTTAGTGGATGGTAGTAAGGCAGATTGATAAAACGTTTAGAAAATGCAGCTAAACTTGTACAGTTTCTAGTCATATTTATCTTGAAATTTCAACTTCTAAAAGTAGTTATTAAAAAGTTACGCATCTCATATAATTAAGATTACAACAAATTAAAAACTGTGGCAAAACTGTAAATATATTTTCTGTAATATATATTGCATATTTTGGTGTAATTATTTTATTATTTCAGTAATTGCAATTACTTTTGGACGCATGAAATAAAACCTCTTTTCATGACAAATTAAATTTTTTTTTTCTGAAAATGTTGTTATATTTTAGTATATTTAATTTCATATATGTACATGTAATGTTACTGAAGTCTGAACTGTGATGTTGCGCTTTCAAGGGAGCCGTCACGATTTTCGGTTTTTGATACCTCTGATGGTTGACAAGAAACCACGAGGATGTTTAGCCAGTTCGCATAAAACAGTGCAATAACAAAGCGAAAGTACTCTTCACGGTACAGTAGACTGAAAATGGTTCCACTTTGTGAAAAGTGTAGAGATTGCAATGGTAGCTTTCTGACTCCTTTATTTTAATTTCCTAGCATGCATGCATATGGGCTGGACCTACCTTATATTACATCAAAATAACCTTTTAAAGTGCTAGCCTTTTAAATGAGTTGGTTGCATTTAAGAAAATGAAAACAAACGAAAACAAAAGCGAAATGACGACGAGATATTTCTCAAATTTATCTGGGCCATTGCAAATTTCAATCTATATAATAATTACATTTTTTTTAAGCAAATAGGTAAAAATGTAGACTAAATGTTTCGCTTGCTCACAAATATGGCCGTGATTAGAGAGCCGAGCTTCAAATATCAAGCTGTAAAGCTCAGTCACCGAGGCTCATGGCTTGTGCCAATTAGAAACGGAGAAACACTGGACAAGAGTTTGAGCAACTGAATGCCAGGTACTTGCTGCCCACCTGTTGAAAGTGGATGAATAAATTATGAGCGGAATAAATTAACTTTAAGCCATGGCAGATGTTCAAGAATGATTCAACTGCACAGTGATTTCTTCAAAACCGGAAAATTTTAACAGAATCATTAGGTGTTTTCCCGCATATTATGGGAACGTGGGTTCATCATGTTCTGATAGTGATCTACGCCCTAATTACGTTTCATGGAGATCATGTGGTTGAATCAAAGCAATTTGGTGATGGTCAAATCAATCAGTGTCACGACAGAAACGGAGACTGCTCGACTGAGCGAACTAAGAGTGAATTTTTCCTGAGATTACCTCGACTAGATGCAGTAAAGGTAATGAATTTTTTCTTTTTCGTATTTTATAGACAGCGAGAATTATATACCTGTATACCAATCCAGATGCTTAGCATGGAAAAATATGTAACACTTGTGTCTTGACTCTCTTGCTTTCTGCTTGCTTCTTAGTTTGCACTGGCAAAGGATAAAATCGGAGCATTTCCTTGGGTAACACCTTCAGGAAATGCAAAGGGTCATCTTTCAGTACTAAAAACTTGGCGTTGCCCGCGCATTTTAGCAGCTATTACTGGAATGCTAAAGCTTATTAAGAAAGTAGCTTCACATCAGCTGTTATTATTTCAATCAGCAGCCTAAGTGCTTTTTTTGTGATCTTCGCTAAAAGTTATGATAGTTGTAGGCTTGTCGTGGTACAAGAAAAAATCATCGATGCCCTAGATATAGCCGTTCAAAATCCATGGGACCATAGCTAAGAACAACTACTCTTACCTTTAATTCTTTGGACAAAAGTGAACTTAAACGATTCAAGCGGGACACAATGTAGAGTTCCAGTTGGATTTATTTATTATNCAAGAAAAAATCATCGATGCCCTAGATATAGCCGTTCAAAATCCATGGGACCATAGCTAAGAACAACTACTCTTACCTTTAATTCTTTGGACAAAAGTGAACTTAAACGATTCAAGCGGGACACAATGTAGAGTTCCAGTTGGATTTATTTATTATTGTTGTTATTTTTAAACAGTTAACAAAACGAGTTTCTTTCTTAAAACTAAATAGAACGGATTTTATTTAGATAGTCTATTTCAATTACAGCTGCACCTCGTCCTAAAGGAACGTGTGCTAGGAACTTAAGAACTGTTTTTTGGGACAAAACGAAGACTAAATTTTGAACTAATTAAATCAGTTACATGCAAAGTTGTCATATTTACTGTTTATGCACGGAGCCATGAGCATTTTCCCCACGCCTGAGCAACTTAAATAAATTAGATTCATTGCATAGCATAGTGATATGAACAGTTGTTCCGGGTCAATAACTCTACTGTCATGACATATTGAGAAGTCAGTAAGTAACCATTCCAAATAAACAAGAAAGTTAAACTAAAGTGTGTAAAAGAATTTTCACCAGCGGAGGGGAATACAAAAATACTCAATGTAGAGAGAACACAGCTATATCTGTCTTTAGGCCAAAAATGTCCGTAGATCGCTCTTTGCCTCTGCAAAACTGAAGGAAAGAAAGAATGGGCTAGGCGTCTGTTCAAGTTTTTAGATAGTAAATTTTTAAGACTATAAATTATTGAGACACTGTCGTCAAATAGAGTATATTTCGAAAAACAAAATAATCTCTATCCCTTTTCCCCTTCCACCTTATCCACAATTGGTTGTATGTCGCTTCCTCAGCGGACAACAAGGCAATATTTTGTAAAATCGTTCGGAATTTCGCCCATTTTATGGGAATGTCTTTATACTAAAAAAATATTTATTATTATTCTAGGTGGGTTACACTCAAGAAATGAAATTGACAAAAGATAGCATTCACACAGTGAAGACTGTTAGTTTACAGCCACCAGTGTTTGGTAAGTGAGTACTGTAGCTCAGTCCTCAAACAAAAATACAATTGACCAATAGCGCTGAACCTTAACATATATATACAGTGGAAGCACTCTTGAGCAGACAGCCTTGGAACGCGAAAAAGGTGTTCGTAACTGGAGCTGGTCCCTTACGGGAATGAAAAAAAATAAAGAGTTTGTAGGGGAGTTGAGTAAAAGGGGTTTTGTGAAAGTGGCTGTGAGTAGAGCTGTCCGCTTACGAGAGTGTCCGTTTGGAGAACTTCCGCTTTATTATTGATTCATATATTAATATCATACACGCACGGTTTTCTTTATTTCACGTTCGACAGAAATTCCAAACTTCTTCACGGATGAGGAATGTGAAATGATTATAGATTTGGCTCAAGAAAAAGGTCTGAAAGATAGTCCGCTTACCCCAGATACTGACAATATCGATGATAAAGATTCCACTGATGGCATATTAAAGGCATGGGACAGAAATGAAGATGGATTTGTTGACAAGGATGAGGTAAGATTCCATCCACGATATAACTTTACTTTGGTTGTTGTGTTTTTTTGCTAGACGCTGGGTGGTTATGGTATTAATTCAAGTTTCACTCGTGTTTAACAAATAGTATGACACAAATACTCAAGTTTTTTCGAACCTTTCCGATGTTAAGAAAGAACTATAACTTTTCCTGCTATTGTATTCCACTTGACTGAACAGGCTCTTTATCAACCTGGTAAACGAAACGTTTACATGACAGAAGAAGACGTGCTAGAAATGTAAGTTAATTTGAGTTCCTGAATTTAGAAACTAAACGCGCGTTGTCTTTATGTTTTGTTATTTTCCTCCTATTTTTTGATTTATTGCAATGTTTCATTTTAGGTTTAAAGCCCTAAACCTTGATCAAGATAAAGATGGTATGTAGTTAGAGGATTCTCGTCTTGCTCCGTCCTCCTCCTCCTTCTTCTTCTTCTTCTTCTTCTTCTTCTTCTTCTTCTTCTTGTTCTTCTTGTTCTTCTTGTTCTTCTTCTTCTTGTTCTTCTTCTTCTTATTATTATTATTATTATTATTATTATTATTATTATTATTATTTTCTCACTGTTTTACGTTACTCTAGTTAGTGGAACTGTTCCCAAATGAATTGACTTGAAAAGAGCTACAAAGTTTCTGAATATTAACTTTTTCGAGGTGGCCAATTTCTCTTTGCTATGATCTTTTTTCACGCCATCTGATTTATGCAGCGCTAAATAGATTTTATATCAAACCTATAGGAAGAATTCCGTTAAAGAATTTAGACCACACTTCATTGGAAAATATCCACGCTCATATTGACAAGGAAGTAGCAAAGAAGCCGCGCATGCGCAGTCAAAACAGTGAACAAGTTTGGTTATGGCACGATGATGACGAACTTCTGCAGTACGAAGGTCTGCTCGAAGACTATCACGAGAGGTAGATTAAAGTTATTTCAATGTTTGCACCAGTTCATATTTGTCTGTTTATTAACAAAAGAACAAATTCAAACAAATAGACAGCTAAAATGGAGATTTTACTGTTTTAAGAAACGCTTTCTTTAATTTTTCAGAATTGAGCAGCTTACCAAGCTACCAAAGCCAATCCTACAGCAAAGCGAGCCACTGCAGGTAAGTTAAGGGGATATCTTCACGGTAGTCTAGCAATTTGAGTTTTACATTGGCAGAAATTTCTCATATACAGCTCAAAGACGGAGATTTTTGTAGACGTGCATATACTTATATTACATCCAGTTAAGCCTAAAAAGTTTTCTTGAAAAAATGCTCCATTTCTCTTGTTTTTCCCCATAGACGCGATTTCGAGTTGGGATTATTTCCCTCGACCTTTCCTGTTTCCCGAATGAAAGAGGTTAATCTCTTTTGTCTTATGCCCAAGGTGGTACGTTACAAAGAAGGAGGTCATTATCACTGTCACCATGACAGCGAAGAAATCGCGCATGACATACCTTGTTGCTTGTATGGCTCTAAAGATTGCAGGCTCTGCCGGTAAGTAAATTACACGCCTTCTATCCAAAAAAAAACAGCTTTACAATTTCTAGCAGGGTATTTTCATGATAGTGTTACTTTTTAACTGTCAGATATCTGACGATCATGGTTTTTCTAAATGATGTCGCAGAAGGAGGAGAATGTGCATTTCCTATTGCTGATAACAGAACTTTCAGTTGGAAGGTATGACCAAGTAAAAAAATCATTACGTCCAGAAACTATGACAATACTGCCTGTAGCATTATTTTAACTTAGGTCGAATGTACTGATGTTAGGATTGCAGCTTAATTTTAAAAAAATTCAGAATTCTTTTCGTCTTTGCTTTCTGATTTCAATTTGGTCAATCCCGCTGAGGTTTAAAAAACATTAGCCCTAATTTGCCCAAGTAATCAACAAACTGAAGGATTCTGGTAGTTGTAGTAAAATGATGTCATCGTGCAATTGCCCTATTAGTTCTTCTTTTTTGGCTATTTTGAGATGTAGAGTAAGACTAGGTCGGGATCGTGCCGAGTTGTATGTAAAACTGTTGTGGGGATGCCAAAACGTCTTCCATTGGCTACTACAAATTTACACCGGAAGCTGGGTCAATCAAAACAGTACTAGGATGCAATTCCACGCAACGCAGAGCGTTTTCGCATGACGTCACATCCGCCATAATGGTGTTCCAAAACAATGAAATTGCGGCCATGTTGGTGTCCCAAACCAGTGCTATTGTTCCCAGTAAATTTGCATAGCTGCTGGTCATGTGACTGAAAACGCTGTATATAAACTGAAAGAGTTAAAAGATGAGATATCTGGTAAAAAAAAGAACATAATATTTTGTCTTTTTCTCTGTTCATAGGCGTGGTCAAAGCAATCACCGCATAGATGTAACATGGTAACTAACTGCGCTGTGTCTAACTTAGTTATCAAACCTCAGAGAGGCAAGGCAGTAATGTGGTACAATCATAAGCTACGGGGTTCACAGGGATGGTTCGGTGATTTAGACCCGCTGTCATATCAGGGATCGACACTTCAGTTCTTTTCACTTTTTACCCAGCGCTTCTAAACCCAGTTGTAATTGCCGCTACCTTCCTTCCTTAATGCACGGTGGAAAATGGGCCACAACTGGCTGGCAGAAAATAATCGTAATGAAGAAATCATGAATATGTTGCAGACAGAAGTTGTAGAAGAAACAGTGGCTGAAAATAGATATACTAAACATAAAAATGTGGAGGTTAATGACGGAGTGAAAATTGATTTAGTTGGTCATACTAACGTCAAAGAGGAAAGCTCTTGGGAAGAAAATACTGAAGCTAAGGAGGACAGTGTCACATATTATACTCAAAATAAGCAGCAATTAACTGAGGAATCTTTAAAGGATTCTTCCAAGGCCACCCCTGAGGGGCCAAAATTGTCAAGAACAGAAACATCTTCCCCTCTTCCATTAACGGAAGAGCAAATGACTCCTAAAGGGCCTCCAGTAGGCCAGTTACCCACTCAAGGATTTGAAGGTAGTCGCATAGTGCAGTCTATAATGCTTTTATTGGAAGAACTTGATCAAGTTGAACTTGAAATTATCGCGAGGAACTTACACACGAAACTTAAACTCGTTTGTGTCCCACTTATTGTGAATCCAATGGGGCGACTTTAGCTCGAACAAATATTGAACGATCGACGTTTTTAAAATTGAATATAGAAAACGTGTTGCTATGACTAATTACAAAAAAGTTTATACCTCACCACTTCTGGGACCATTATCGTATGTCGTTGCTAGGTAACGCGGTTACTGAGCAAGTGAAAATTGGCTTCCTGTTTTCGTTTTTCACGTGTTTTTGGATTACCGGCCGAGCCGGTCGCGGGACATTTTTTCGTGCCACCAGTGGTATCGCTTCCTTGTCGTTTACGGCACTGCATGATTCCAGTGCAAAGTTACGGAAAGGTATAATTATGAATCAAGAGGATTTCATACTTATAGCGAAAAGTCTTTTACATGTGTGTATCGACCAAGAAGACTCGAGCTGTTAAAGGAATGTCTGAACACAAGAGCTTTTTAGTTTCTTCACCAAATGGTCAAGTTGAAAGTTTTTCCTTTTCCATTTCATTTAAAACAGTTCAGAGTCGACATCGAGTTACTTGTTGCGTGTTACTTTCGGCGAAAGTAAATCGAGTAGTCATTTTGTTCTTCAAATCAATTGAAAATCTGTTTCTTGAAACTTTCGCATACTATTTGCGAAATTTCAAAAAAACGGGCAAATTATGTCGGACTGTTGCTTGCGGAACACAATATTCCATTCTCCTTTCTAAATGAAATAAATATCACGATAGTACTAAATATTTTAAGCCAAAATGTACATTTTTTTAAAGAAAACATGATTTCCTGCATTTGGTCACGTGACACTGGGTGTGTCCTGATGACGTTACAAGGAGAGGCAACCGGTTCCTTTTAGGGATAGCCTGAGTTCGCCCCTCCCCGCATTGCCCTCTAAACTCTCCTCACCCCTAACCCCTGTGGAAGGCCTGTGACCAAGTGACATCGGGTGAGTCCTGATGAAGTCACAAATCAAATCAAATCAAATCAAATCACTGGTTTATTGTCCCTTTTGCAGTCAGAAGACTGAATTGTAGGATACCTTACAAGCTGTTATATATATACTAATACGCCACATTTATTGACAAGATTGATATTTAACGCATTTGAGAAACGTTCAGTCCTTGTGGCCATAGGCCTGCTAGAACCCCCTGATCTTAGACATGCACTGGTAGATATAGGTACCAGTCTGTTGTGTATTAGTAGGTATAATGGGTTACCTGGCCGAACCTTACCAAGCAAAAGTACCGGTCCCTTTTAGGCATAGCCTGAGCACCACCCCTTCCCCCCCCCCCCCCCCCCCCCCCCCCCCCCCCCCCCCCCCCCCCCCCCCCCCCCCCACACCCCCCTCATCCCCATCCTTCCTGGCACCCGCGTGTGCTTTTGCGGT